CTTCCCTCGCGATCTCCTCCTTCCCTCGCGATCTCCTCCTTCCCTCGCGATCTCCTCCTTCCCTCGCGATCTCCTCCTTCCCTCGCGATCTCCTCCTTCCCTTGCGATCTCCTGCTTCCCTCACGATCTCCTCCTTCCCTCGCGATCTCCTCCTTCCTTCCCTTCTCTCTCCCTTGCGATGACCTTCCCTCACTCCTACTTCTCAGTCTGAACGCTCGCGGCATCACGCTCACCACTCTTTAACGCGCGACCATGCCACCCTGCATCGTGAAGCTCTGCTCTGTCGCAAAGCCATCTCTCACTCTATCTCTCTGTCTCTCTTCTACAGCGTACACATCCGGCGGACGGACAAGGTTGGTACGGAGGCTGCGCTGCACACTGTGCAGGAGTACATGTACCACGTCGAGGACTACTACCAGAAGCTGGAGCTGAGGTGGCCTGTCAAGGTCAAGCGTGTCTACATAGCGACCGACGAGCCGCGCGTGCTGTCCGAGGCTAGGAAATTGTGAGTATCGCTGTCTCGTACCGCGTCGCCATAGCAACGCGTAGCGAGTAGATATCCTTCCTTCGCGATTTCCTTCTTCCCTCGTGATTTCCTCCTTCCCTCGTGATTACCTTCTTCTCGTGATTTCCTCCTTCCCCTGTGATTTCCTCCTTCCCTCAAGGTCTTCTCTTTCCCTACTACATAGCGTGCTGTCCGAGGCTAGGAAACTGTGAGCACCGTCGTCTCGTACCGCGTCGCTGTAGTGTAGGATAGCGCACGCTCCCGCAGAGAGTAAATATATCGCCTCACACTATTCCCCAAATGCAATCACTAGAAACAACACACCTCTTCGCTCCAACTGATAAATAATAATAGAACGCCGCAGGTAATCACTATACACCACACTCTTAGCATCCGAGTACACTAATGACTCGAGGGCCGATCTGCCATGGTTATTCCCCAGGTAACGACTCGGCTCTCATCCTTTCCGCAGCAAGTCCAGTTTTCGCCTAGCTCCTACACCCTATTCCAGCGATACTTCTCCGCTCTACCTTCCACCGACCTACCTTCACCCCGCCGAGCGCCTCCGCGAACTTCCTCTCTAAGGTACGGAATTACTTGCATTCGGCGAGTGTTACGACTTGGAGATATCTGTGTAGTTTCGTAGAGTTGTGTTTGATTAGGCTGAAATAGACGCACGGAGAGTAGTTTTCATAATACTGTGTTCGTGTTATCATTCGATCGTCCTATCTGCGCAACCTGGCGCTACCCTTAAAACGGGTGCCACAACCACACCTACTGAACCGTAGAACCTGGAAACGGGAAGTGAGAGGCTTCCTTAGAGTAGCAACGCGTAGCGAGTAGATGGCGAAGTGTCACTTATGTGATTAGGAGGGAGGGAGGGAGGGAGGGGGGAATGATCGTGATTTTGGCGTGCAATCAGATCTGATTTGTTCCTGGTTAAGATTAGCGACTGACACACTAGTTCGACAATGCCATCCTTATGAAGGCCTATTCACATACGTACGAGTAACGCTGAGTAAGCATGTGTCAAGAGAATTGCCTACAATATTATGCCCACTAATTGGCAGTGTAAACTACTGAAATGAGGCTGTGCGATGGTAAGAAGCAGGGCTGTGCAGGAAACCCCATTATCTGCTGTATGGTTACAGGATGATACAAAACGGGTGAATTTTCTGGCTGATGTCCATTGCAGCGATCCCATGCAGTATTTCTATATTTTATTTTAATTCCATTTTTGAACTGCTATATTTTTCTATATTTTTTCAAAGCAAAATCCCAAATGATTATCAGGATTCTCATTCAAATAATTCGTTTATTTCATTATTTGATGTTTCATTTGACTAATAGCTGCACCGAAGCGCCACCCTATACGACAGTCCGATGTGCAGCACATGTAGTCAGAGCAAACGAGAATATATTAGAGAATATATTATATATTAGGCTTCGAAAGTTCACTTCGTTCAATTGCTGCTCATGAGAACTGAGACGATTAATCAGATTATATAGTAAATTGGCCTTCAACTTTAAAAGATTGTAATTATGTTCAGACCCGACATTGTTTCCATCCATTCAAGTTGGATTAGTTTCGCAATTGAAAATTGGTCGATCGCATTGCAGCGACATATCTGTAAGCTACAGTCGACACAAGTGGTATATAGCTGCACTAAACAGGGTTCGTAGTTTTGACGAAGTTAGCCGCTGTCATAGCCAGAATGACAATCTGTGCACTTGCGCCACATACTGCACTAGCGCGTGAGTGATGAATGTGTTAATGTTACCTCCCGAGCGCAAGATAAGGTTTGCCTCAATTAATGTCAAGTTCATATTTGTTAGCTGCACGTTTGCATTCGTTAGCAAGAAATCTGCTTATTATAATAATTATATGGCTATCATATGTGATATCATCTTGTGAAAAGAATTTCAATAGGAAGTTAAATTTTACAATTAAATATATGGTAGATTGTTCATGTTGTATATATTATCACCACTGAATAATGATAAAACTAACAAACTTAAGCAGTAATAACTGTGCTTAATGATTATTATGATACTAGATGAAAGAGTGAAAAATTATAGTAAAAAGAGTGGTATTAATTTTCTAACAAGAAGTTAACAAACGTATATTTTGAAGTTGATTGATTGTCATATATCTAAGTAAAGTTTGTCACTACCTTTGTGAATTGAATGATTCACATCAATACATGTTTGTATTGCTAATAGTAATTGCAGTTTATTTGTTTTTGTTTTATAGATACCCAGGTTACACCTTTTTAGGCGATGAGAGCGTAGCTAGAACGGCATCACTAGGCCAGCGATATTCTGATGCATCTCTAAGGGGTATCATCTTAGATATCCATTTTCTATCACAAAGCGACTACCTTGTGTGCACATTCTCGTCACAGGTATGTGTTACGCGTTGCTATAGATCTAAATAATTTTTGCTATAGATTCTAATTCTTGCTAGAAATTCTTGCTATAGATCTGAATATGTTGAGTACATTTTAGTTACATTTATTTTCTTTCACCGCAATTTAGTATTAAAAGCGACCACAGGAGCAGTACGTTTGTCGGTGTTCTAACTAAACCCTGAATGTCATTAGAAATGAGCAAAATCGCTGCTAACACGTACGTGAATGGCAATCGCGACATTTGCTGCGTGTGTGAAAAGCTCATTACACTGCTTCGCTATAATTACACGATAGCTATTACGATTATTCATCTATAAAATTGTTATGGATTATTAAGGCAGGCAAACGCGGCTAGCTAAGCTTTTAACTTATCACTGCAATTTAAATACCCTTAATAATCTGGGGAAGTTGAAGGGAAGCAGAAAGTCCACTTGCGACCGCGTTCGGGTAATATTTCTAGCTTCACGCATCAACAGGAGGACATGCGTCTTCATATATTATCAGGAGTGTCCTAATATAGGCAGGAAGCATATATTAGGACACTCCTGATATTGTGATATTATGATATAGTCTTCTTATATCTCACTTGTGTTTTTTATTACACCCGCCTGGCGTCAGCGTACCACACGCTTCATCCCCGTACTTTGCCTTCCCCCTTCGCTGGTCTGTTGGTACCTCCGAGATTATGAGTTATTAGGGGATAAATTAAAATTAAAAATAAAATATTTATTATAATATTAATATAATCATATAATATGATTCTATAATCTATATTTCACACACATATATATATATATATTAATTTTGTTTTTTATTTTTATATATTTTTTTCTATTCTATTTTTATCTATATTTCTTTATTTATATAATTAAGTTTTACGCTAATATCATGTTACATCCACCCCCCTCCGCAGATCTGTTGGCTAGCCTATGAGGTTACGCGTTAGCAGGAGAACATTAGACCTGATATTATGTTACATTCCTCTCCTTCCCCCTCTCTCGCAGATCTGTCGGCTAGCCTACGAGGTTACGCGTTAGTAGGAGAACGAGTCCTCTGATATTATGTTACAGTTCGACCTCGTTTATCCGGCCATGTCAGGACCGGCACCCATCCGGATATGCGATTTGGCCGGATATGCGATTTATGCTCAAACACAGCATTTCTATGCAGTTCAGTAGGGTTAGGCATTTGTTTTGTGCATGTGATAGCTCTGCGCTCTTACGATAATCGATGTGTACATCGCGCGAGAATCATTGGTACATCGCGCTAGTTTTGAGAAAGTTTTGAGCGAGATTTTTAGGTGGAAATGAATGAAAAAACAGAACATACACTGCGAGATCGCGGCCGGTTAATTGATGTTTCCGGATAACCGGTGGCCGGATAAACGAGGTCGGACTGTATATGGTTTGGATTAGCATACATGGACTAGACGGAGTGGCATCCACACTATTGCCCATTATGAGAGTAGACGAAATGGGAGTAGGCCAACTGGG